ACAACGTGTGCACACATAAGGTAAAGAATAATTTAATACAACGACATGATTTATAGAAGAATTTGCATAATAAAAATGATTATTCATGCGTTCAACAATTACGCGGTTTTTTTGTTCTCTTCGTTGTTTACTTCTTACAACAAAGATGGCGTCGAGATTTCAACAGCTAGAAAATAACTTTTTTCTTTCTTTCGGGAAGGCGTGATCTTGTGTCTTTCGTTCATGCAATATAACCAAGGCACTAAGTAAAGCGCTGGTTATACTTACATACATTGCAAGTGCAGGGCATAGAGAAGCAGCGCATGTGAAGTAGTGGTGTAATTATCAGTGTTGCCAACTTTTCATTTTCAAAAAGCACCAAAAACTTGGAAAAAAAGCGTTTTATCAAACTAAAAGCACCAAATTTTTTTTAATCAAAGGATGCTTTTTTCATAACAGTTTGTATTTAACAAAAACAAAAAAATTAAAAATATTTACAAGGATGCATACATAAATTAATAAATAAAACTTTTTCGCTCATAACGATTGGAAAAGCCACATGCTATAATGACTCATGCTTACGACGTAATACCGAAGTACTGCACATTAAAACTAAAATTAAAATTAAAAAAATATATCTCAAGAAAGAAAAATCGAATCCCAACAAACGAAAATCATGCCCTAAGTAGAAATGAGCAAAAAAAATTATGTTTTCATTATATAACCTCAAATATCGCAAAACACGTGTTCTTCGTAATCTGGGGGTAGAATATCTAAAAATTCTAGTACTAGAGCAATTGTGCGGCCAGATTTGGATTCAGCACCAAGAAACGATGTGTTTTACTCAGGTGGTACAAAAATAAAAATTTTTACAAATAATTAGAAAAGAACAAAAGAAATACTTAACTTACACGCATATCTACTAGCATTTTCAAGGCGAATAGAATTGAACAAGGTGGGTTTGCAAGTTCAACCTTTTATCAATCATGGTTGTATTTAAATGCATTTCAATTTGTAGATTTTTNTTACTCAGGTGGTACAAAAATAAAAATTTTTACAAATAATTAGAAAAGAACAAAAGAAATACTTAACTTACACGCATATCTACTAGCATTTTCAAGGCGAATAGAATTGAACAAGGTGGGTTTGCAAGTTCAACCTTTTATCAATCATGGTTGTATTTAAATGCATTTCAATTTGTAGATTTTTTAAATTCAGTGCTGCCACAGCTTTGAATATTTAAAAATTATTTCAGGTCTTAACTATATCGGAGTAACTTGAGTTCAAAAAAAGCACTAAAAAAGGCAATAGGCACTAATAATTTTTTTATGCGTTTTAATTTTCAAAAAGCACTAAATCTAGTGCTTAAAGCACCAAGTTGGCAACTATGGTAATTATACACGGCATAGAGCGCATAATTTCCCAGAATCAGCTGTTCAGTGTAATCAGTTAGACTGTTCCACCAGTACTCCAGCATTTAGTTAGATAAACATAACTGAAGAATGCTTATTTATAGCTTAAATGAAGTCGACGCTAAAGTTAGTTGCTGCTTTTTGTCATAATTTTCAATGAAATGGCGGCAACTAACTTTATAATTGACTTTGTTTCGAATATAAATATGCCCCAGTGTATGTACAAGAACGACTTCTCAGTAATTCCTGTAAATCTGATGGGTACTGGAACAGACTAATGAGGGCAATGAGAGTGGCATCTCTCTTTGAAAATGTCACATAGCGAAAAATCAAAATTCTCCAGACTTAGCTGTCATGCCCTGTCATGCGCTGCGTAGGATAATCGCTTGTATACAAAGCTCATTAAGCAGACTCGATATGTGGCAGTACTCATGTTATGCGCTGCAGCACAATGCAAGTATAACCAGCGCTTAACGTACGCACTTTTGTTTGCTAAATGCATTTATTTAAGTTGAAAGAAGGCAAATTCCTTTGTTCGGCATTTCTTCTTACTCGCTTTCTATCTTCCAAGGCGAATTCATATATTCTTATCACGAATTCATAAATTCATGTGGTAGCAAGAGTATAAAAACTTAAAATTACCTTATCACGTTTATGCGTAGCCCAATTCACGAAATCATTTCACGAATCTGAGTAAAAACTCAGTGCACAAAATCCATTTCGCGTATAATTGAAATCATGAAATAGTGTTCATGCACTCAGTTTATACTCAAACGCATGCAATGATTTCATGAATTGGCCTACGCGTAATGGTTGTAAATGGCAGAATGAATTACAACGCACACATTATTCTGACATAACGCAAACCTTAAACGTTGCGACCGTTGGTTCAGATCGATCCGCAATCAAGTCGGACGTTTTGCCCACAAACATTGCAATTTTGCGAGCAGTCTCATTTTTACAATTTCATACTTTCGGCTTACATTTATAAAATTCAACGAAAGCACGTATGTATATACATATTTCGGCTGAGTTTTCCATTATGAGTTATTTAGGGCCACTTGCAGAACAGCAGGTTATCTATTTAACTCGAAGTTTACCGGTTAAGTTGATAAATTGGCTTGCACAATCTATGATTAGGNGATCCGCAATCAAGTCGGACGTTTTGCCCACAAACATTGCAATTTTGCGAGCAGTCTCATTTTTACAATTTCATACTTTCGGCTTACATTTATAAAATTCAACGAAAGCACGTATGTATATACATATTTCGGCTGAGTTTTCCATTATGAGTTATTTAGGGCCACTTGCAGAACAGCAGGTTATCTATTTAACTCGAAGTTTACCGGTTAAGTTGATAAATTGGCTTGCACAATCTATGATTAGGAGTAAAATTAGAGTTAAATCGTTAAATATTTAGCCCAGAAATTTTCGAAGGTTAAGTTTCTAACTCTACAGTAACAAGAATAAAAAAAAAAATTGAGATTTCAAAAATGTTTAATGTAAAAAATATTTCTGAACCCAGTAGAACTTGGGAGCATCGTACGATTGCTCGGTGAGTACTCCCTTGGGAGTATACGAATACTCCCCATTGCTCCCTATGCTTCTGTGTATAAGCATGTAATTTTGTATACTCCCTTTAACATTGTATGTCCTAGGAGGGGGAGTAATCCCTTTTACCTCCTAAACGAGCGATCGGGGAGCACACACAGAAATATCATCCCACAAACCTCCTAAGAGAGCAATACGGGAGTACTCCCATAAAATCCTCCCCTATACCTCCCAAAAAGACAACAAGGGAGTGCACATAGAAAACATCCCACATTCCTCCCGAATGATCAATAAGGGAGTGCCCCGAAAGCCTCCTGTACGAGTAATAAAAGAGCTTTTCATTGCCTCACATATAAGCTAAAAGATTTTGCTATTTACGCAATCGATATATTTAATTTTTTATTTAATCTCATGCATGTATACAATATTAAAAGATCTTAACAGATACCTATAAGTACGAGATCAGACAAAACATACATAAGTAATACTTATTACATTTTTGATTAATATTGGAATTCTAATGCGGGAAAATACATTCAAAGTAAAACAGAATAACAATAAAACGGTGAGATAGCTACATGATTTCCTTGCGTCAGGGATGCTTGGTGTTCAGGAGTAGGAGTGTATAAAACTTTCTTGTTTTAGCCACGATCAATGTGATGGTTACTTAGCCCATCTGATAGCTATGTCCCCCAGTAAAAGCTCTGGACCGGCATTATATGAACGTTAAAACCAGGTGGTCATACGTAAATGCTGACACTAACAACAACAACAACATTAATCTATTTAAACAGAAGTTGCAATACATACCGATGGACCTTCATTTAACTGCGTGCTATCGTCATTCAATTATTGCCTCCTCCTTATATTGTTTCTATATTAAATATTTTCTGTAGTTTTCCTTATGATAAATTTTTCCAATAATACGCAATTTCTTTTGAACGAGGTGCCTATAGCTCCCCTATCAATCAAAAGGAATACTCCAGGATTACTCTCTTAGGAGACATCGCTTTTTGCTCCTAAGCGAGTAATAACGGAGTACAAAACCGACAAATTTCAGTTATCGCTCCGTAATCATGCCTCAGGGAGTATTCTTTTATTGCTCACTTGGGAGATCTCCCGTTTGGCTCCTAAACGAGAAATAAAGAAGTACAAAATCGACAAAAATCGTTTATTGCTCCAAAATCATGGCACTGGGAGTATTCTTTTTTTGCTCACTTAGAAGATCTTCGATTTGACTCCTAAGCGAGTTATAAAGGAGGTCAGAACCAACAAATCGCCCCTATTGCTCCGAAATCAGGCCGAAAGGAGTACTCTTTTATTTCTCACATTGGGAGATCTCCCTTCAAGTTCTAGTGGGAATTGATATGTATATATGTACACACATACATATGTACTTATGTACATACCCTGAAGGAAATGTCGATAGTAAAACTGTACTGATTTAGTATTGACTTTGTCACCAGTACTACTGGCCAATTATACCCCAGGCAATGCTCTCTGCTGTAGACATTTAACATGTGCTAGTCATTGAGAATCCACCAGTGACGTTAGAACTATTAATTAGGTGGTTCTTATGGAACCACATGGAGACATTGGAACCAGTAATTCAGTACTACATGTTAATAATTGAGCGTCTACAATTTTGGAACTTTTTATTAGATTTCCTACTACTGACTATGTAGTTCTTATGGGATCATATGGAGACGTTGGAACCAGAGATTCAGTAGTACATTTTGATAACTGTAGTCAACACTTTTGGAACTTTTTGGAAGATTTCCATAATACTAATATTGCGGCGGGTACAAAATGTATTTAACAAAGTGTGATCGAAATGTACTATAATATCAAGTTCTTTGAATCGTTTGTTTATTTTATACAAAGAGTCAATCACACCTTCTTTAATACACCTTTTAAGGGTATAAGTCCAAACAGGTCCATTTATTTGGGTAAAATTAGATGCTTTATTTCAGAAACAAACGTAAAATTATTTTCATTTAAGTTAAAAAGGGCACAAGTTGTGCGTAACAGTCTTTAAACCCTCGGTTAACAAGTTACCTATTATAGCCGTAAACACATTGCCGTAATCCCGCAAACGCTTTTTGCCGAAAGATCCGTCGACATTGAAATTCATAATTATACCGTGGCCAAATACCTGATGTAGATTGCGTTCAGCGTTACCACCGAGAAGTAACTTGATTTGCCGTATCTATCATATATAAAGCGGAAAAGTAAAATTTTTTATTCACTTCGTTTCACGGTAAAATAAAATACATACTTACATATGGATCTGCTTGCGTAGCTAACATAGTGTCAAATTCTTTCAATTTTTCCTCGGTATTAATTGGAAAAATGCCCATTATATTTGAGCAAACTGCATTTTGGGCAACTATGCGATCCAATAAAACTTTGTGTTCCGCCAAAATATCAAGTAAAGTATTATATTGCTTTTGAGCAGCATCTGTGAAAATATACGTACACTAATAAGATACATGCATACAGTTTCTCACAAAATTTCATCAGGGGCTCAAACTAAAACCAACAGCCAAAGTTTTGAAGAAAAACCTTTTTCAAAGCTTCTGGCTCTTAATGCTGGAATTTTCAAAACATCTGCATTCTGATTCGAAAACATCTGCGAAAAGCATGAAGCACTATGGACTCGCCACTTTGACATGGTTTATTATCTTCAATTCCCGTGCAGGCTTAACACCAATTTTTTAACAAACCTTTACATAAGTCAAATTTTTTTGATAGTTCTTCACAGCTGTGACATTTTTGATTAACTTGAAAAATAAGAAAATACTTATGTTATCAGTATAGTATATAATGCTTAACTATAAAAATTACCTGGTTGGGGGAAATACTTCAGTGTTCCTTTGGAAAGTTGGGCATTATGGCTCGACATTTTTCTGAAGGCAGCTGTGTAGAATTGGAATTATTACAAAATTGCTATCATAAGGTAAGCATAGAAATTTGTACTGAACATCTTTCTTTAAAAATCTTTCTTTTTCACCTAAACGTAGATTTGTTTTGAAAATACGTAATTCACAAGAATTGAGAGGCTGTTGGAAAAAATTCTCGCCGTCCTTCAACGTAGATATCACATTCTTTTACTATTGCTTCAATTTTTACAGGAATATCTGCTTTAACAGAAAAAATATTATTAGGTTCTTTGCAAGAAATTAAGCAATCATTGACAAAAGCTTTTACAATAGCACCTCCTTTGTACTTGAAAGTTTTCTTTTTTAGTTTCAACATCGAGTTGTTCTTTCTGCACAATTTGTTGATGAATCGACGATGGTTTTCGAACATGTCTTTTTAAAATTTGAAGTTTATTTTCAAAATCGTATGCCGAAAAAGACGTGAGAGGTCCATACGTTTCTGCGCTAGAAGCTATGTGCAATAGATTGTGTACATTAAAAGAGACACTGTCTGGGCCGAATACAACAGGGAAATTTTGAACAAATAATTTAAGTATTTCATTAGCTGTATTTACATTATTGTAAATATGTCGTGAATTACTCAGTAGTCTATAGGCGCAATGTAACAGCAAAAATTCATAGAAAATGTCTTTGTGCACGTTATTGTGAAGTACAACAACTCCTGTATAGGCGAGGAACTGACGAAATTCAGTGGCCTTCCAGTTATGTATTGCATCAAATGATCTAGGTTTCCGTGGGAACTCCTTGGGGAAAAATTTTCTTAATTTCACTAGTTCAGAAGATATTTTGGATATATTTGCTTTTGGAGTCGTCTCTTCTGTTCTATTCTTAATGATTCGAATAAGCATTTTTCTTGTAACTCCAAGATCGATAAGGTGCCTGCTGTCTAAAGGAGTTTGCGTTACCATATTAAATCCTATTTCTTCAAGGGGAGTTTTTTCATCTTTGAATTTGTGGCTGTGGTGATTTGGATATTTTCTTAAAGAAAAGTCTGCGTCGGAAATTAAAGTGCCACTAAAAGTACTATATGTTAGCACATGGCCAACTTTCTTCGATACTTGTGTGCACTTAGTGCAACCATGCGATGCAGTATGTCCTGGGACACCACAAACAAAAGCTTTAGCCGGCGTGTCGCATAATAAACAGCGGAACAGAATATTAATTTTCTTATCACTCAAAATCAATCCATCTTTTAGCGCAAGCACTTCCTCAATAAAATCTTTTAAGAAGTCTTTAACACAACACGGTTTGGTATCGCCTACATATATTCCTACAGGAAAAGGTTTCACTTTCTCTTTTAAATTAACTATTTTCAAAAGAATTGTCCACAACTGGATTCGCGAAATTTTAAATAATGGAATTCCGTCAATATTTATATCCAGTTCAATTTCTTCATATTTTTTTAAAACGTCTCCAACTTTTCTTAGCTGAGTTTCAATTCCTACGTGACAATAACTTCCTGGGAAAACTTTTCTGATTGAAACTTGATGCTTTTTGCCCAACAATGCTGCTGCCGAAAGTGGAACCTCCAGGCCTTCCTCCTGTAATATAGCCAGCAGCTTCTCCAAACAATTTCTGGAAGGACCTGTTTCAACATACCACTTCTTTAACTTTTCGCGCAAACTATATTGTGGAGTAGACAAATCTTCAAAAGACTGCACAAAATCTTCAACAGGCTCCGCAAAATCTTCAACAGTCTCCACACAACCTCTAAAGTTAGAAATTTCGCTAATAATTGTTGCCTCTTTTTCGTTGTTTCTATTTCTATACAAAATTGATTGCTTTTTCACAAGTCGTTTGTAATTTCTTTTGCTCATGATATAATTATTTAAAATTATACGCTTATTTACTTTTTAAATTCAATTTTCTTCGCTTTTTTATCAAAAACTAAAAACTTGCCCTGCGGCCACGTGTATTTTCAACAAAACAAATTGACACAATAAGAAAATCAGCTTTTGCAGCTGTCAAAAATGTCTCTACCTATCAAAGGCAAAGTAAAAAGTATAGACATTTCGTTGACAATGTCACCCAAAATAGTTGACTGAAGTGGTGACTCGCAGACACTTGACTCCAAGCTTCCTTCAGGGTATGCACATATTCATTTTCCGCCTTCAACTCTGAGGTTTTGGCCAGTCTTGCGTGAAAAATATATGCCATTAAAATGCACCAAACGTATGCAGTGCCAAATTGAACCAACGGTCGCTACGTTTATAGCTTTTTTTAAGAAACACCGGGGCGAAATTTTCAACTGCTCTTGTAACACCATGATTCAATAATACAAGGTTGCATAAATATTGACATTTGTGTCAATCGACTGCCTTGTAAGGTTGCATTTGAGAAGGAAAGAGAAAGCGGGTAACCATTTTATTCCCTTTTGTGAAAAGGTAGTAGGAAAAGTAGTAAGTAAAGTAATTAAATATATGAAGCGGATTCCACTGATCTACACAATAGACAATGAATTAACTTTTTTATGGTATAATAAACATGCCATATAGATATTAAAATCAAATAAATGAATATTCACATAAAATTCTGACAAAAGAAAAAGAAAAATTCTAAAGAAAAATCGTATCGACAAATATTCCCAAATATTCAAAATAAACCATGGTTGCATTGAAATTCCAGTATATATTAAACAAAATTAATGGAATTCAAACAAATCCTTTATTCAAAGGGACTATATGAAGAAATATACAAATAGTAATGATGTAATGATATAATGCATATAAATTAATCTATTAAAATTATATTTGTTGCATTTAAAAATTACATGTTAAATATCTTGAATCGAATTATATTTGTTTTTTTTACAAATCTCAACTTGTTAATAATGTTTTCTACTATTTTTTCCAATCAGTCTTGCTAATCATAATATTGGTTACATTTAAAAGTTACATCTTCAATATCGTAATTGAATTATATTTGGTTTTTTAAAAATTTAAATTTGTTAGTAATGTTTTCTACTATTTTTTCCAATCAGTCTTGCTAATCATTATATTGGTTACATTGAAAAGTTAGATCTTGAGTATCCTAATTTAATTACATTTCGTTTTTTAATTAAAATTTAATTTTAATGTTTTGTACTTTTTTGGGTGTTCTATAGACGAACCGTTAGTACACTAGACTTTTTCCACTTATTAAAACCTACCAATATATCGCACACCGTCTTCAAAAGAGTCACAACTCAAAATTTGTAATTTTTGAAATTATGCACAGAGCTTCTATTTAACTTTCAGCAAAAGCTGCAGAAATTTTTTTTATTATTTGTAAAAAAAAAACCTAAGGTAAAGTCGCCCTTGTCCATGTGATTACCATGTGCTAAAAAATAGTTTTTCGCATTTTCTTACAAACGTATTATTTGAGTTGTTACTCTTTTGAACACGGTGTGCGATATTGTAAAGGCCTTGCGCTAAAAGTGGGCTGCGCTACGATGATGTTGAGCTTGCGGTAAGGGAAAAGTTGTGCCTGCGATCAGATTAGAATCCTGGAAGTATATAAAAATCGCTGCACCAGCGAATGTAGAGGGACACGCAAATGATCCGGACCTTCACAAGAAAATATCTTTATTAATATTTGCACTTTCACTTTTATGGGATGGTATACATACTTGTAAATATGCAAAGGCTGCAACAGGGTGCAACAGGGAGAATCCCTGCACCAGCGAATGTGGACGGACACACAGATGATCCGGACCTGCACAAGAAAATATCTTTATTAATATTTGCACTTTCACTTTTATGGTGTGGTATTCTTACTTGTAAATATACAAAACTTTACTTGTTGTAAAACTCTAGTTCTTTAATACGAATTGTGCATAACTCTGAGACTCAGCAAAGAAATACATAATGTAAATTATTGTTTTAATTTAAAATATTTTCATTATTTTAGATTTTTTTGGCATACTTGAATTTGCGCAATAAGAAAATGAATTTCCACAAAACAATCGATGAAAATATGGGCAGTGTTGCCTGTTGAACTTTTTGTACGAACACAATATTTCTGCTTGTATTTTAGTAGTAGTAGTAGTTTCTATAAATCAAACAAGTAATTTTTAGCAAAAAAAAAACCGACTTCCACTCTCATATAAAAAAAAAATATATATATATATCTCATGATCCACTGATCGGATCCTCACCAGATTAGTATGGGACCACCTCTGAGACACTACCTTTCCGATGCAAAAAGAATTATCGAAATCGGTTGACGTGGTCCAAAGTTATGCGGTAACATACATAAAAAAAAAAAATAAATATTCCGACGAACTGATAACCTCCTCCTTTTTTGGAAGTCGGTTAAAAAGAAAGCAACACAGGCTAAGGCAAAATGCGGGAGCGAGACAACTGCCAGGTTACCCAACCTTGTGTTATTGAATCATGTTGTAACACTACCATATATGAGTTCGCCATGCTATCATCCTCACATATCGCACACCTACACTGAGGAAAAAAAATATTAAAATCAAATAGAAACGTAATTGATCTTACTATAAACGTCAACGAAAGTACTGTATATTGGTAAATATTCAATTTAATTACGCGCATATTAAAATGACCGCGTTCGTTCTGAAAAAGCATCCGTGAAGTGTATAATCAAGACAAAAACTAAAAAAAAATGTTTTAATTTGCGTGTTCCCGGTAGTGGAATTCGAACCCTGACTATCTCTGGGGGGCTACTCTGTAATGCGCTGCGAAAGAGAAATGCGATGCGATAGACAAATATGTCGTAAGAAATACGCTGTGGCGATTGCCTATCGCATCGCATTTCCCTTTCGCATCGCATTACACAGTAGCCCCCTGGATATCAACAAATTGTGGCAAGCATCTTTGGGCACTCAGGTACACCCAGACACAGTGTTGCCATTGTGCGACTAAAGGGGCAATTAGACCATTTTTACGAGCCAATACCCTTTGACCCGATTTTTTGAAAATTTTAATTTTTTTACCCTTTTCCAAAATTATGTGCG